GGGTTTCTTTAAGGGTTCCTTTCAGGGCTCCGTACGGTTTTTTGGCTCCTTTACGGGTTCCTTTAAGGGTTCCTGTAAGGGTTCCTTTAAGGGATCCGTGCGGGTTACTATACTGTACTATACTCTAATATATGGGTAGTTGTCAAAATCATAGGCCCTTTTGGGGTACCCTAAATAATAGGTGCCGTATTATAATCAGGACCCAAAAAGGGACCATAATTTTGACAACCACCCATATGAAAGCACACTACACGCTTTAATTTCCCAAGCCTGGCAGTCGCCTTCGCCCGGACCTGGGAAAGCTCGATATCCACTGCACTGGGTCGAAGAGGAGCGGTCTTAAGGCTTACTTGGAGGATCATGGGACTTAGTAAGTATGGTTATAAGTACCTTAATTGGGGTTCTAAGTAGTTATAAGTATACTTATCCTGATAATAACCTTAGTTACTCAGTCCCAGGATCCTTTAAGTAGGGCCCTAGAAGCCCTTAAGGAACCCTGGAAGTCGCATCTAGTGGGGCCCTTTAAGGAGCCCTTAAGGGAACCCTATTCGGGGCTTAAGGCAAAGATGGGGTCTTCACAGTTTGGGGTATCAGGCCTTGGTGTCGTGCATGCTTTGCGGTGTTGGCCTAATGTGCAGGTCTTAGGCTGTAGGGGCTTCTGTGCCGCAGAGGTGTGGCTATGCTTGAGGGCTTTCGGCATTGGAGATCTTGTTTTTTGGGGGGTTCTTCCCCTAAACCCTAAACCCTATATGGAGGTTAGGGTGTTGGCTTTCTCCTGAGTTTCCGTGCTTCACGGTCTCAAACTTTCGGGTGCTGGGTTTAGGGCTCATAGGGGCTCATACTTTCGGGTCTTGGCTTCTCAGGATTTCTGGATGGATCCTTCTTCCCCGACTGGGCTTTCAACTCGTAATACCAAGAGCTGGCTCCTAGCAGGCACTGTGCCCAAAGTACTGCTTTGACCCTTTCCCTAAAGGTCCATGTACTCACATAGCATATACATGGGCCCTAAAGTACCTATATAGGGACGACATTGAGGCCAATGTATATACTATATGAGCACATGGACCCTTAGGGTTTGGGATAGACCATCATGTGTTTCAGGCTGCCACAGGTCTCCGCCTTGCAGGCATGGGGAGGGATTTCAATGCCTTGACGGGATTCGAAGAGCCCATGGGCGTTTGTGATAGTAAACCCTAAGCCCTTCACCCTAAACCCTAATGATACTCCGATCTCCTAAATAAGTCACAAGCCCTTAAATCCTAAACCCTATAGAGGCCTCCCCGCCCAACTCCCTCCCGACAGTGTGAAGCCATCTAAAGCCCACAGTCTTACACCGAACGACCCCCGCATCCTAAGCCCGCAACCCCAAACCGTTACGGTTTCGGGTTTAGGGATCCGAAACCTCTCAGGAGATCTTTCTGCCACAGCTTGTCATGGCCCCTGCCAAACGCGCCGCTGCAGAAGTGGCAGGCTGGCCTACAAGAGTTTTTGGGCTTCGGGTTCTTGTGTCACTATTGCCGAAGGGGTTTCATTGGTTTCATATCGTTTAACCCTAGAAATGCCAGTGACCTAGACCTAGACCGTAAATGACAGTGGGCTCCTGGAGTAAAAAAATCCAACACTAACCCTAACCATCCAGGTCCCCAGGGGCTCTAGTACCCTATTTAGGGTTTAGGGTTTAGGGTTTAGGGTTTAGGGTATATAGTAGGTACCTGGGGGGTTCGGGTAAGCCCTACATATAGGCCTAACCCGTAGACCCTCATCCAAGGATACTGGGCTTCCCCCAGGCGTCCATGTACCGAAATAGTATATACTTTGTTTGGCCCCCAAGTACCTAGATAGGAACTACTTGAAGGGCAAAGACTAGACTGTTTGAGTACCTGGACCCCAAACCCAAAACCTTTTTACCCTAAATAATATCCCTAAGCCCCTATGGCACCCCATATGGAACCCTTAAAGGAACCCCAAAAAGGAACCCTGTGTTTGGGCACATTGACCCTAAGGGTCCTATGTTGAAAAGTTGTGGCTGTTTGGCTCCAGTTGCGGTGTAGGGCTTTAGGGATCGAGGGTTTACCTACAGTCTCCATTGTAGTTCCTTTTCGGGGCCCCCTTATAGGATCCTAAATAGATGATTGGTTAAGCCAATAGAGACTGCAGATAGGGCTCAGAGAAGGCATCCTTTGTGGGTTTCTTAACGGGATACCCTGAGGGTTTCGGCGAAGAACTGGTAGATGTTTAAGAGTGTGGGGTTTAGGGTTTAGGGTTTAGGGTTTAGGGTTTAGGTTTTAGTGTAGGGCTTAGGGGTGTTAGGGTTTTCCTGTGGCTTGGGGTTTCTCTGTTGAGGTTGGGAGTGCACAAGAAAGCACATCATAGGATCCTAAACCCTGCTTGGAGTGAAGAGCCGGTGACAACACGGTTTAGGGTTCAGGTTTCAGGGTTTAGGGTTTAGGGTTCAGGGTTCAGGGTTTACGTTGCGACAAGGATCTCTGAAAATCTGCAGGCAAAAGCATGGACGCAGACGCCATGCCGGTCCCATGATGAACCCGAAGTGGGTAGTTCACTAAATTTGGGCCCCTTTTGGGGTCCTTTTTTGTAAGGGTGCCGTACTATATCGGGGACCTCAAAACGGACCCTAATTTAGAGAACTACCTTAGATCCTGAACATCCACCGGCCTCGCCTTAGACCTGACTAGGGGAGTGAAGCCGTACCATCATCACAGTCCCAGAGGGTCCACATATACTACCATTATGGAAATAGGTCTCAAAAGACCATCCTCATTATGGTTTTGGGGACCTAATTCCATAATAGGAGTCGACCCTCTGGGAGTTGCTTACGTCTCCATGCATAGTACGAGTTAGCAAGGCATGACGCCATGAATGTTGAACCACGCGAAGTCTCCCTAAACCCTAAACCCAAACAACCCAAACAGCCCTAAACCCCAAACCCTAAACCGTAAATCGCTGTCGGGCTTTGAGGCCACAAAGTGTCGTGCAAAGGTATGTAGGAGAACTGGGGCACGACATGGCACGAGTTACTCATCCGGTCTCCTAAGCTTTGGGCCGTGGGTATCCGTTTTTAGGGTAGGCGTAACGGAGTTTCAACAGGGTGAACCATGTTATATCCCCTAGTAGACAACCCTAACTTCTAATCCCCCCCCACTTCATACGGCAATTAGGCATTTAGGCCCCTAAGCCTTAAACCCTGAAGCCCTAAACCCTATACCCTGAACTCGGCCCAAAACCCGAAACCCTGAAGCCTCAACCTTTCACTTGTTGTAATGGTTGGGATAAGCTAGCTCCTTTCAGGCGGCATGCCGATGAGGGGGAATGCTGCGATGCTGCCGAGGCTGTGCGAAAATCCTAACCTGGGTTTGGGGTTTAGGGTTCAGGGTTTAGGGTGGGCTCTTGAATTCTAACCTGGGTTTAGGGCTTAGGGTGGGTTCTTGTTCAAGCTCTCAGTGTACATCACGGTAGCATCACTTAATATTCTGAACAAGAACCCAATCAACCCTAGAACCCTACACCCTAAACCCTAAACCCTAGAACCCTAATCCCTAAATGGGCCGTTTCGGCCACAACGATCCGATTACTTCAGGGGCTGATACGCGGGTGCCACCAGTTGCAACCATTTCTTTGTGGCTCACAGCATTCATGCGAAAACCCTCTATACCCTACATTATGCTTATTGTAGGTGCAGCATTTGGTGTTCCAGGCACTCTGAAATCCGACAGCAAAAGTTTCAAGGAAAAGCCTCGAAGCCGGTTCGTACGGTTGATGGACAAATCCTGCATGACCTTATATACCTAAACTATGGGATTTATGGTACTATACCTTATTTGGGTCATGCAGGATTTTGTCCATCAACAGTATGATTGTATGCATTCATGCCTGCTTCGTAAGCCTGTATGCATGTATTCATGCATGCATAAATCTAGGCATGCATGCCTGCATGGATGACTGGGCGGATGGATTGATGTTCGATGCATGCATGTCCAGTATGTGCTTGGGAAAGGTAGCGCAGTACATCGGTTTGTACATCTATCGATGTAACGATCTATCTAGCTACCGAGCATCTACCTACCTATCTAGCATTATCTAGCTATCTACCTATCTACCTATGCACCCACCTACTCTACCTATAGATCTACCGATCCAAGTATCTGCCTTTCTTTCTATCTATCCATGCATCTATCTAACCATCCATCCCCTTATCCATCCGTCCGTCCCTCCCTCCCTCCATTGATCTATCTATACGTCGTTCTATCGACCTATCGACCTATGAAGCAGCCAATCGATCGATCCATCTATCTATCTACCTGTCTTTGCTTCTAGTTTTATTTCTATCTAGCTAAAGATCCATCCATGTATCCATCTCTCCATCTATTCAGCCATCTACTTAAACCCAACCCTGTACCGTCCATCCGTCAATGCCACATGATTTTTGGCATTGTGTAGGATAGATGTTTGAGGGCTTGTGACGTATCCCGGCTATTAAGGCCATAGTAACCCTTCTAGACTAAATCTTGGCAGGAGACCTTTGAAAGAGCCCATAAAAGGAGCTTTACCTTACCTCCTGAGATTTCCGCCGTCAGAGGTTTCAGTCGCCCTCCGCCGAGAAGCGCACCCCTCAAGTTGGAGTCTTCGGGTCTTGCCCAACGGGTTTCGGGGTTTACCCATATAGGCCCCATAGCAGTTCCTTTTGTGGCTTATATCTAGGATCTTATGAGGGAATCCCAAAAAAAGGACTTACTATGGGGCCGATGGGCAGGGCTTAAGGTTTGGGTTGAGGGTTCAGTAACCTGGAGCGCAAGATCCTGGATAGTATAGATGAATACTGCGTACTTGGACCCTCAGGTGCTGCAGGGCTGAAACATGTGAGCTGTTGCGCGCATTTCCAGCGCGAACTATGCCTCACATTTCCAAGCTGCTGCCCTCCTAAATATAGGGGCCTAGATAATTACCTATACTATTTTGGGGGTTCCTTATTCTAATGATAGTATAGTATACCCTGGGTTATGGTATAGTATACCCCCAAAAAAAACTTATTTTGGGGGTTTTCTTATTATAACTATAGTACCCAGAGCCCGGTCCCTTAATGTAATGTCTCGGGGGTCAGGGGTCAGCGGTTCAGGGATTAAGGTAGGGGCCTAAATAAATACCAATACTATTGTGGGGTTCCTTATTATAGTTATAGTATAGTCTAACTATTCAGGCCCTTTGGAGCCCAGTCTAATCGGAGTTGCGGTTCAGGCGTTTAAGGTTGGGGTTTTCGGGCTCAGCTTTTAGGTGTTACCTGTGGCCCGAAAGAAAGACCTACCTTTTTTAGGGAACTTTGTGCAGAATAATATATATATATATATATATATATATATATTTATATATATATATATAGAGAGAGAGAGAGACAGAGAGAATAATGAGGAGCCCCAAAAGGGGAGGTCTTTGCCGCCCCAGGCAGGGTTTGGGATCAATTTTGTTTCCGACATTTTATCCGAGCTGGAAGATAGTTTGACCTGGGTCTCGGGTTTAGGTTTCAGGGTTTAGGGTCTAGGGGTTTAGGGTCTAGGGGTTTAGGGTTTCAGGGTTTCAGGGTTTAGGGTTTCAGGGTTTCGGGTTTCGAAATGCCTGCAGCGTCATCGTCACGAAACTTCGAGTCCGGAACTTCGGGGTTTAGCCGCACTTCGGGCCTTGCAGCTAGACTTTGGCTTTAAAGACTCAGGCTTTAGGGTTAAGGGTTTAGGGAATATGGCTTGAAAGATTGCCTGTAACCCCAAACCCTACAGAATAGTAGGTTCTGGCCCCTAATAATAGGACCCTATAAACCCTAAACTCTCAACAATGGGATACAGCTGCCTATAACTGTAGGCTTTTGGATCCCCAGGTACGGGGTTTAGGATGTACAAGATCAAGGGCTTCGGGTCGGGGTTACAAGTGGGATAGAGAAGGGCTCTCCGTGGCGTAATATAGGGGCCTTAAACTATTACCTACACTATATTGGGAGCGCCTTAATATAATGATCGTATGATATACCCCTAAACCCTATTCTACTAATCAAGGCCCTACATGACGCTAGGTCTCGTTGCAGTGGGCTTGGTTTTTGCTTGCAGTTCCGATGACCGTGTGGACTGATTTAGCTATCCCGCTTCTCGACCCGTCGGAAGGCAGCAATGTGCTGGTTTAACTTAAATCCTACAGTACCTATAGGGTCATACCCTACGCCTTTTTTAAGGTACTTAGTTTTATGGTTAGGAACTGCGGTATAAAAAAGTAGGTACCTTAAAAAGGGGTAGGGTATGACCTTATAGGTAGACCCTAAACCCTAAATCCAGTTTCAATGCATGATACGGCCCCTATAGGCCCTGAACCCTGGACAGAGTGCTGGGGCCAGCAGGTTCCGGTGTGCAATCTTGGCTCACAGGCGAGTCCGCCTCAGCAGGTGTTCCCAGTGCCCATCAGTTTATGCGTATACATCGGGAGTGCAGTTTCGGAGGCTTTAGGACGTTTTCTCAAGGGCACCCAGTCGCATGGGATAGCATCATGGTTACCATTTTTTGATCCGTCGGTTCGGCGTTGACAATTAGACGTGACATGCACGCAGCTGACGCGGGTCCGGCATGGCGGTGAAAAGCTGCATGGGCTACGCCCAGACACTGGAGACCTACTTAGACCCTTACAGGAGAAAGTCCACCAACGATCTTGTAGTTCTCGGGTCAAACACGGACAAGGCCGAACAGCCTCCTGCTATTCCGCAGCTCCGGAGATCCAGTTCAGGTTCTATCAAGGCGAGCGAGGCTCACCTGCTAGTCTATGCCGAGAAGAACAGCACCACCCTCACACGCTTTCGCAAGTTGTTGAAAGGCCTTGTGGATGCTGGCCTTACTGTTGAAATCCGTTCTGAGATTCACGAGCTCGAAGCAGATGCCCAAGAGAGCACTTTGAACGCTTCGGCTATTTGTGTCCTCTGGTCGCCCTATTTCATCGTGAGCTACAAGGACTGACTGACTTTACCGTGCGGTTTATTTCGCCTTGCCGTTTAAGATCGAATCCCAATCCCATGAATTTCGTCAAAGAAACCGAACGGAGGAAGGGGATAAGGGGGCTTCGGTGGTTGTCCCATTCTTCCACATGTTCGAAGCATACGATTGTCATAGTTGTCTATCCCGGCCAACCTCAAGGCCGACAACCGTAATTGAAACCCGCACCCAAAAAGAGCGAGCCTGCGAAACCCCGCACGCCAAGATCCTGAACCCTGGGCCTTTTATGCTCCTCACCTCCTCAGATGCCACCAGAAGAACGACAAACGGTAGACGCTACATCGTAACCGAAGTCCCGAAGCCACGTAGCAAGCTCAAGCACCAAAGCACCCTCAACGATTGAGTTCTGAACTCGAAGCACAAAAATATCCCCAACACATAATATAGGGACCTGAATTTTATACCAGGGTTTGGGATATATTATACTATAATTACAAAAAGGAACCCCCCAAACCCTATTCCAGTTATTAAGGCCCCTACATTAATCAGACATGAAGTTGATTCCCTAGACCTGACAGAATCGCACTTCACACGAACAAAAGCTTGATATTCTCTTAGATGGTATAATTAATACAACATAGAAATACAAAGTGCAACATATTAACCTAGCAGTGTATAGTATAATATAAAATGATGGTGTTTATGTTTCCTGGATTTGGGATTTGCTTTGTTTTTTTTTTCAGACGGCTTTGATAAGGGTTCAGTTCCCCTAAACCCTGCACCTCACATGGCGCATTGGAGTGCAGAGCTAAACCCTACGCCCTAAACCCCTAATCCCCTAAACCCTAAACTAAACCCCTAAAACCTAAAACCCTAAACCCCTAAACCCCTAAACCCTAAAACCTAAACCCTGAGCAGAGGAGCATCTCCTCAAAATCGCGGAGAAGGCTGCAGCTCAGGAGATTCGGCTTCTCAACGAGACCTGGCTTTGAGTACTGCGACGATTATGGTTCTTGATGATGATGATGGTGATGATGATATGTTTATATATACATATAGATGATTAATTATGTAGGTATATAGGTCAACATACATACATACATACATACATACATACATACATACATACATACATACATACATATATATATATATATATGTATTTATTTATTTTTATGTATGCATATCATTATTATTATTATTATTATTAATGTTGCCAGTTTTGGTTTGGTGTTGTATGATTTGTGGATGGGGTGGGGTTTAGGGTTCATACGGTTCAGGGGTCTTTTTGTTTCGTGTGAAGGGGGTGAAGTGTTTGCAGGGTTTTGGCGTCTAGGGTTTAGCTTCATTGTGTATGTTGTTATGCTCTTCTTTTCTTTTGGGGGGGTTAAGGGTGCATGAGATCGAGGGTCATTGGGTTTTCGGGTTTATATTGAAGGCTTTTATTTTGTTTGTTACGGTTACCGGGGGGGGAAAGGTGAGGATGAGCCGGGCCTTGGACCGAAAACCCTAAACCGAGGGTTGAGGGGTCCGGCTCGGTTTATCATGAATTGGTTTTTGTAGGTGTTGAAGGGCTGTCTGGGTGAGTTGTGGGTTTAGGACATGTGGGTCGAAGGGTTTGGGGGAGATTCTGGTATTGGGTTTGAAGTGTTTCAGGTTGCTTGGCTCATAGGGCGATTTGTTGCATCAGGTTGGAGTAGCCTGGCTTATTGTTTGTTTGCTTTGGGGGATGGTTTCGGGCTGTTGGCACTATTAGGGTATATTAGGGTTCTAATCCAGCCCTAAAGCTCCTCTACCTCAATGCGACGCTAACGCTGGATAACATGCGACGCGGCTTGCCAATTCGATCATTTAACCTAAAAGCTGCTAGGTTCATGTTGGAGCCCTAAACCCTAAATTCCAAACTCAAAGAAGGAATCATGAATCTTTTAGTTCTGGCTGCTAGAGCATGGGCCGTGTCCAAAGCTCCCTACTTTGGGTTAGGGGGGCTTACGGGTTTAATATAGGGGCCGAAATAATTACGAATACTATGTTGGGGCTCCTTCTTTAGAGTTATAGTATAATCTATAAAACCCCGATATTGGGGTTAGATCATGAGCCCCCAACACATCACATTCCTGCACCTGCATCCTCTCCATTCACTGACGTCTTAACGATTTCGAAATTTAGGGTTTGAGTATGTTGAGTGACTCACATGTGATCTTGCTGTCTCCAGTGCTGCCTCTAGGGTTTTGCGCCGTTTCTAGAACCGCCAAAGGCCACAGCTGATGCGGCCTAGACTTGAACCGAAATCCCCGAAATCCCGAAACTCCCCCAAAAAAAAACCAAAAAGAACCCCTAAACTCTGGACCCCAAACCCCAAGTTCGACCCGAAGTCTAAACACCAAAGCCTTGAACTTCACGGCTTGAAGGGCTTAGGGTTTAGGGTTTAGGAGTTTAGGGGTTTAGAGGTTTAGGGGTTTAGGGTTTGGGGTTTGGGGTTTGGGGCTTTCGGCCGAGGATGTCCGCTGTCTCATCGAGTTAGCAGACAGGCGCTGGGCGCTGCGTATGCTCTCCGAGCCTTTCTCTGCCTTGAGGTAGGAACCCAGACATTCCAAAATCCCTTAATATAAGGAAAATATATTATATATACACATATGTATGTGTGCATATACATATATATGTATGTACACACACACACACCTCAAGCTGCACTTGCTGGCATCAATCCTGCATACCTCTAAACTTTAAACACAAAAGCTAAAAGCTACACTGCTACACCACGCGGTCCCAGAGATGAATATCACGCGACCACTAGCAACTGGTTGGTGCAGTGTCGCCTGCTACCAGATGTCTGTGTCATTGAAATTAGAACAGCTCAGTGGCATTTAGATCATCCCTCATACAATGAACCTAAACTAACCCAAACCCTAAACCCTAAACCCTCAGAGCCCCTAAACCGTAAACCCTAAATCCTAAGCCCTAAGAGCAGCCTCTCACTTCCCAAGAGCGAGTACTTTTTCTAAAATGCTCGAGAGAAACCCTAAACCCTAAACCCTAAACCCTAACTAGCCCTAAAAAAGGCGTGCGCACCTTGGAAGGGGATCCGATATCGGCTCAGCTGCTGCTACGGCGCTACAGGTTGAGATTCGATGTATGGGGCACAGGCCCCGGAGTTGAAGTGGGATCCGTAATGCTGGGGTCTAAATAGTAACCCTAAACCCATAAGCCCTAAACCCTAAGCCCTAAAACCCTAAAGCCCCAAACCCTAAACCCTATAAACCCTAACAACCTAAAGCCCCAAACCCTAAACCTCAATGAGGCCTTCAGGGTAATTCATGAGTCGCAACGACCTCCTCGCATGGATCGGCAGCTTATGGGTTAACGCAAGGCGCACACCAGCTGATGGGTAGAGGTTCTATGCAACAAAACATAAGCAGGCATACTGTATCGGCTGCTTGGTCTAGTTCTCTCTCTCTCTCTCTGTTTCCCCTCCGCTATGTATATCAGGAAGTTCTGTTGGTAACAGATCTTGGTGGCAAGCATCCTGCTGAGTTGGGCCTATATAGGGACACTTGTTTTCTGAGACTCCCTTCTCAAGCCATTAGTCAAGATAGGCGGTTGGGTTTTTACCTATAGCCTATAGTCTCCATTGTAGTTTCCTTTTCTAGTTAAACCAACTTCATATTTAGGAGCCTATAAGGGAACCCCTACAAGGAACTACCATGGAGACTATAGGTATGTTGCAGAGTGTAGTTTGGAGCTTGTCGTTCAGAGCTTATCGGCTTCGCGGCATGATCCGAGGAACATGGCATTCCAACGCCAAAGTCTCATGACTGCTGGAAATCCTTTTTGGTGGCCCTATGCAGTCTGAACCCTAATCTTAACCTTAGGCCGCACACAGTCGGAACCCGAAATAGGCAGTTTTCCAACTTAGGGTCCGCTTTTTAGGTCCACAAAAGAGTACGGCACCCTTACAGCAAAAGACTTCAAAGGGGACCTTATAATATAGAGAACTACCCGAAAGAACAGAAGGTGGGCGGGACATTCTCGAGACTTTGTCGAGCCCGAAAGCTCTGAAGTTCCCTCTTCCCCAGTTCTAGGACCACAGTTCCATCCAGCCCTAAAGTAGGGGCCTAAATAAGGTTTCAGGGTTTAGGGTTTGGGGTTACAATGTAGGTGCCTGAATAGTTACCAATACTATGTTGGCGGGCTCCTGATTAATATATTATAGTATACTGGGCCCCAAGACCCTATTCTAATTGTGAAGGCCTCTACATCAATCCTCAAACCCTAGCCTAACACCCCAAATCCAGAAACCCTACACCCCTAAAACCCTGAACCCCGAGAGACTTGGGTTGAGGGTTCGGGCGGGATTTCTGGCCGAGGTCTTGGAGAGTGTTTTGGAGTTGAGGGTTTGGGCCCATACCCTACTAGAAATCCTTCGAATCTCCTAGCCGGCAGGCTGGTTCAGGTAAGTTGTTTTTTTAGGGTGGTTGGGGGCGCATAGCCTTCAAAGTCTGAAACAAGATGGCTCATACATCGGACGTTCTAAACTCGAAGTGGGTCTCTTGTTCCCAGAGTTTTCGCAACACCTTGCACTCGACGACCAAAGCATGTAACAACTGAAAAATCGGATCTCGGTCTCATCTTCTTTGCCGGCCAAGAAAAAATCTGCATTGACGGCTTCTGTCTTTGTCCGAGTGTGCACCTTTGGGGTTTAGGGTTCTGGGGGTTTATAGGGTTTATAGGGTTCAAGGTCCCATCTTTGGGGTTTAGGGTTTTGGGGTTGGTTCAATGACACCTCACCGTTTGCAGTCACCCTATCCGCCGTCTCTTGCTGCCCGCGAAACCCAAAATTCTCGACCTTGATGCCCCAACCCAAATCTTTAAGGAGTTGCCAGCACGAAATACGGAACCCGAATGTAAAACCCTCTCTAGTGTTGCGAGCACGAGCCCTAGGATGGGACACCCAGATGGGACCACACTGAACCCCTAAACTCTAAAGATGGGACCCTAAACCTCTAAACCCCTACGATGGGACCCTAAACCCTACAAGCCCTAAACCCCTAAACCCTAAACCACAGAAATGGGACCCTAAACCCTTATTGAGCTCTATAAGCCCAAAACCCCTAAACCCTAAACGCCAAAGATGGGTCCCCCCGATTGCCGCAGCCCAGGTATGCCGAGTGTGCCTTCGAAGTTCAGTCTCCTACGAGAGTCGAGGCCGTCTCGATGCTTCCGGCTCTGAGTTCTTCCGGAATTTACTGTAGGGTGGTTTAGGGTTTAGGGTTTAGGGTTTTGGGTTTAGGGTTTTGGGTTTTGGGTTTTGGGTTTAGGGTTTGGGGTTTAGGGTTTAGGGTTTAGGGTAATGTAGGGGCCTTAATCTTAGATAGCCAATGGGAGAACTTTAAACTTTTTGGCTTTTTATATTAGGTCTATCCTAAAAAGTTTGATTTTTTTTCGGCCTGGTTGTTGAAGAAGAGAGTAGTTAATAGCCTGAATAGTTAGAGTAGGGTTTTGGGGGTTCCTTATGTTAAGTCTGGTCTTCTGGAATTAGGGTTTAGGGTTTAGGGAGAAGCCTAAATAGTTGCCAATACTATTTTGGGGGTTCTGTATTGTACGTATAGTATATAATATACCCCAAACCCAGACCCCAAAGGAGCTACCCTTTTTAAGGACTCATGTCGAGGTCTTCGTTTAGGGTTTAGGGTGTAGGGGTTTAGGGGTTGAGGGTTTAGGCCAGGGCTCACAGACAGAAAACTATGCGCAAAGCTGCGCGAGCTCTCAGAAGCTACAAGTCGGACGTGCTTTCTAGTCACATCCGGAAGCTCGCGGTCGAAAGTTTAAACCCTGAGCCCTAAGCCCGGATGCGGCTTCGGTTTTGAGAGCCCGGAAGCCAGAAGCCCAGTTTTGAGAGCCCGGAAGCCAGAAGCCCACAAGCCTCATAATCAGCAGCCTAGGCCCAGACCTCAAGTTTCCAGCCCTGAGTCCTAAACGGAGGTTTTGGGTTTTCGGGTTGAGGGCTTAAGGTCTATAGGGTTTAGGGGTTAGGGTAAGCTAATATAGAAGCCGGTTGAATTGGGTGCTATTCCTTAGTGCTGCTAATTATAAGTATGACCGAACATCCTTGAAAAGCTTGTTATAATTGTTAAGAACCCTAAACCCTAAACCCTAAACCCTAAAACTCGAGTTCTTCGCCGATCCTGCGAAGAGGAGTACGACGACCACGTGATCGTAAACGGGCAGCAGAAGATTGACAAGCCTTTCTTGGAGAAGCCCGTCGCTACGATGCAGCTTCAAGTCTATAGGCTAAGCCGTCTCTAGGGGTTTAGAGGGCTTTAGAACAGGGTTTAGAGTTAGGGTTTAGGGTTTAGAGTTTAGGTTTTTAGGGTTTAGGAGGGCAAGAGCTTTGAGAGCTTTATAACAATCTTTTCTATCAAGGGTTCGACTGAGACTCTGTCTTTTTACGCCCTGCCTCGAATCTGCCGAAGCTCCGAAGACTTCTGATCAACAGGCCCGCAACCTGAACCCCAAGCCCTTTCCCTCAGGATCCATGTAGCCAAACAGTATAAGCTTTGGCCTTAAAGGCGCCTCTACATACATACTTTGGGTAATATTTGGGTACATCCTAAACCCTGAACCCAAACCCCAAAACCCCAAAACCCCAAAACCCTAAACCCTAAACCCTGAACCCTGAACCCTAAACCCTAAACCCTGAACCCAAAGCCTTAGCCCCACAAGGACCCTTAGGGTTTTGCTTTGAGGCCCAAAATCCGGAGAGCTGAGGTCAAGCGCTCGGACAGAGAGATCTACCTCTACCATCCCCAGGCCCGGGGGGGGTTCTTTGGGTTTAGGGTTTAG